TGTCGTCCAAGAGGAAGGTGGGAGGCAATGCAAGACCTTCGATTCTTTCCTGGCTCTGCCTGCTGAACTCAGGATCTCCAGGATTTTAATGTTTCTGTCCAACGGGCTGGGGTTTCTGGGCCTGCTGGTCTCTGGCTTTGGCCTGGACTGCCTGAGAGTTGGAGAGAGTCAGCAGGCTCTGAAGAAGCGGCTGCTGATCTTGGGGAGCATCCTGCTCTGGACAGCAGGCATCTCGGTCTTGGCTCCTGTTTCCTGGGTCGCCCACATGACGGTGCAGGCGTTCTGGGACGAGACCCTCCCAGAGATCATGCCTCGGTGGGAGTTTGGGGATGCCCTGTTTCTCGGCTGGTTCGCTGGTTTTTTCCTGCTCCTGGGAGGCTGTCTGTTGAACTGTGCAGCCTGCTCCTCCCGGCCCCCTCTAGTTTCGGGCCACTATGCAGCGGCGGAAATGCCAACTCAGTGTCCATAGCTGAGTGGAAATGTACATCTGAAAATGTAAGGCTTTCACAAGATTGGAGATGCATCCTGCTACAGCCACTGTGATAAAAGGGTCTTTGTTATGCAACTAAATCTGGGCTGCTCACACTCTCATTCAATAACCCGTTCTCTACCAGGTCCTCCCTCCCCCAGCCCCTCTCAAGGCTGGAGAAGTAAGAAAGAGGTAAATCTTAAATCTAAAATGATTATGCTAAGCGTTACACAGATATGAGCCAAAGCATGTCATCGCTGGGGTTACTAAAATCAAAATGTGCTGCTGGTCATGCAATACCCCAAGGCTTCAGCTTTCATGTCAATTTTATGTTAGAAAAGGTTTTTGGTGTTCTTGTTGGTAGCTGAAAGTGATAGTAACTAGTTTCCTAAAGAAAAAAAAAGCTGAAATCTTATAAGCTGCCCGCATTAGCAAGCCACATGTTAAGTCAACCCAGTGTTATTTCCACAGCTGAGGCTGCTCTTTGAACAGAAGGGGCTGAGCTCAGACACCTGTGCGACAAGGTGAGAGGCTGGGGATTCTCGGCACAGCTCGATGCTCTCAGGCTCAAAATAAGGGCCAGCCTCCTCTCTCCTCCAAAAGCTGCATATCTAAGAGAGAAACATTCCAAAAATATTTCGCTTGATAGCAGATAGGGACAGCTCATTTGCCCGAAGAAGACTTTCCTTTGTTCAATTAAAAATGACAAGCTGGGGATAGAGGCTTTCGGGCCGACCCAGCTGAGTCTAAGTAAGCTACAGTGTCCTGTTGCTTAACTTCTCTGCAGCGCGGAAAGCGTGTTTCGGCAAAGGAAAGACACACGTGTTGATGCGCACGTGCATGAATTTGGCAGAAAGACACGTAGGTAAGCGGGCCGTGGCGTCCTCAGGTTCTGTGGCCTGTGCTAAGGGCTTTGGAAAAGATGGCCTGATTTCAGTCTCCAGAGATTTGATAACAGTAATTTATTTGGTTAAGTAACAGTTTTCTGGCAACTATTTTGAAAAGTGGCAACATCTTGACATGATATACAGACTAGAATGTGAGGATAAAATGAGCAGATAAAAGCCGGCAGAGGCCCTTAGCAAGCTCGAAAGCAGCGGGAGTTGAAGCAAAGCTGTCAAGGAAACGCTGTGCATTTAGACTTTACTTCTCGGACGGTAGGAAGGTGGGGGCATGAAAGCCATCCAGACCTTCACGAGGAAAGGAGGCGTGTTACCCCTTCAGGTTGTTTCCATAACATGCTGTGCGTTACAAAAGCCAGCCCATAGGACATGAACCTGATCCTGGCCACACCTCGGCATAACTGGTTTGCAGAATTATTTCCCTATCCCTTTCTGAAACCTATTCAACATGGAATCAAACAATGTCAACTCTGGCAGCAATCCTCCTATATACACAATGAAAAAGTGCTGAAGTGATAACACAAGGGCTGCACTTTTTTTCACGACACCCCAGAGCCGGTGTGAGACTGCCCAACGCGCTCAGAGCTCGCCGATGGCGCTCACCTTTAGAGCTGCGGCACAGTGGGCTGGGATTTCATTGTCTTTGCTGGGATGGGTTTTATCCTGCCTCACCAACTACCTGCCCCAGTGGAAAGACCTCAACCTGGATTTAAATGAAATGGAGACCTGGACCCTGGGCCTCTGGCAAACCTGTGTCGTCCAAGAGGAAGGTGGGATACAGTGCAAGACCTTCGATTCTTTCCTGGCTCTGCCTGCTGAACTCAGGATCTCCAGGATTTTAATGTTTCTGTCCAACGGGCTGGGATTTCTGGGCCTGCTGGTCTCTGGCTTTGGCCTGGACTGCCTGAGAGTTGGAGAGAGTCAGCAGGCTCTGAAGAAGCAGCTGCTGATCTTGGGGGGCATCCTGCTCTGGACAGCAGGCATCTCGGTCTTGGCTCCTGTTTCCTGGGTCGCCCACATGACGGTGCAGGCGTTTTGGGACGAGACGGTCCCGGAGATCGTGCCTCGGTGGGAGTTTGGGGATGCCCTGTTTCTCGGCTGGTTCGCTGGTTTTTTCCTGCTCCTGGGAGGCTGTCTGCTGAACTGTGCAGCCTGCTCCTCCCGGCCCCCTCTAGTTTCGGGCCACTATGCAGCGGCGGAAATGCAGTATCACTGCCAACACCTGGAGATGAAAACCACCCACCTGAGGATCTGAGCCAGGAGGGATCAGCGGTGTCGTCTTCCGGAGACGCTTCCTCTGCTCTGGATTTGGGAGGGCTCTGACTACACAGCCCTACAGTCACTCTGCTGCTGATTTTCAAAATGCCTTTTTTCCTCCTGGGGCTATTAGCTTCTTAAACAAGAATTTCTAAGATGGTAAACCACTTCTATTTTCTACTCTGAGCAATACCAATCAAGACTTAATAGTAATCATACTCATTACAGTGGATGAGTTTTCTCAACTTTCAAATAGATTCCAAGGTCTGCGCAGAACTGGGAAATAAGACATATTAGGACTTAGGGGTCATTGAAGGTGTTATTTATAGAGGTGAATCATCTTGGCAATTGGAAGTGTTCCTGTTAATCGCTATTTCTTCCGAGTGTGTAAGATCACCTATTATATGAAAACTTAACGTCTCCTTGCACATTTATTTAAAATGTATATCCGATCATACTAAAAACAAAGATCGCTGGCTCTGTGAAAGCGTGAGAGGTAAGACACGCCTGACGCATCATGTCCTTTGATGGGAGACCTCAGTCAAAGGAGCTTCTCGGCCACCTTCACCCGTAGCATCTCCCCTCTGCCAGAAGCGGGGGTGGGGGGGTGGGGGGGTGGGGTGAGCTGGAGTTTGGGACGGGTCACATGACATCGACCACACAAATGTGCTTCGGGCTCTTGTGTTCCAGGCACCATGCTGGACGGCCGACAGTCCTGCCCACCCCGGCCGCCTACCCCAAGGCACTGCAGGTGGGGCTGGAGAAGATCCTGGCACCGAGGCCCCGGGTCTGGGAGCACACAGCCTGGACAGGTGGCCAGGACTCTGGGGCCCTTTGGTGCCCTCGCCCAGTGAAAATCCTCTGCCTTTTTTTAAAAAATCAGCAATACATATTGTCCACCAAGAACTATCCTCGGGCCTGGGGAGTTCTTCATGGAATATTTCATATTTGCTATGGACATAGTTCAAGTGAACTTTTGTGTCTGCGCCAATCAAGGAAATTAACTGAACAATAAAGGTCACTGAAATAGAGTATCAGGCAGTATCTTTGTTTAACAAAGTATCTTTGTTAAAAAAAAAAAAAAATTCCCACCCGTAAACACACAAAAACTGCAGAAACCAAAGTTAAACTATGTGATGTATTTGCATATTTTTACAAACATGACAAATGACAACAGAAACATATTCAGAATTTAACCTGATTAAATATTTAGTTCAGTCCTGAGCTTTTGATATTTAATACAATATAACGTAGTAACAAAAAAGATTTTAAAATTGATTTGACTTGCAGGCTACAGAGATTCAGCTAAACTTTGTTCATTTGGCTAGCAATATCCTTTTTGTACCTATTACAGATTCTCATATACAAAATTGTAATAACATATTGATAATTCAGACTGGAGAACTAAATATTACATTCTTTTTACCCTGTGCAGAATAAACTCTACCTTTTAAAAAATAGTATTTATAATATTAAAATTCTTATTTGTCCATATGGTTTTGTGATGAAGTTATTAAAATGTCTTGTCATTGTGAATCATTGGGGTTAGTACAAATACGAGAGAACTGTTAAAAGCTGCCTGTAAATACATAACACTATCGCTGATTTTTTAAAGTGTGGAAAAGGATTATATTGAGTTTGTCTCTCATGTTAGAAATGAGAAAATTTTGTGTAAGAAAACCAAAAGCATCTTGGTCACACTACTAACACTATCAGTCGGAGACAGATTTTGCTCTTTTATACTTATCTGAAACTTCTTGTGTTACAAAAAGCTAACAGCTCATCTGATGAAGTTTTATAAAGCTGTAAATATTCCGATATTGCCTCTTCTATGTCAAACATTTAAAAATGGCCAGAACCGAACTATATATTAAACAGAACATAAATAAGACCGTAAATAAATAAATGAAGAAAATAAAATCGTACGGTACAACTACACATAATTCTATAAACATTTTCATGGTCAAACTAAGAAGCTGGAAACAGCTGACCTTCATGTAACTCTACATTAAATAAACTCCTTTCACATTTGACCTTGACGAGGACGAACGATACTCTTTCTAGTTCTCCTTAGTCATCCAATAGACAGCCACGCAGGTCTGCGCCTGGCCGACTCAGGCTGATTTTGTTCAAAGTAGTGTCATGTCCAGTTATAGCTTCAAAGACATTTGTATATAAGTGACGGGACACAGAGGAAAAACACAATTAAAGTTCTAGGCTCAGAAATGGCTTCATCTGAATTTTGATTCTGATCAAGTGAACCTTCCAAAATAGGTATAATTACTTTCAAGAAAGTGTAAGTTTTGCCACTGAGGATTCTAGCTTAGGAATAGAACTTGTGCCGCCCCCAGCCCTACCCGCCCCACCCCCAGCCCCGTCCCAAGGGCCCTGTTCTTTTAAGATGATTTGTATTTCCAAAGTTTTGATTTAAAATTACCTGTTTCAGTATAGCCGACCAAGTTCTAAGGAGCATTTAAATTCCATTGGCACCACTGACCTTAGAAGCCTGACGCTGGCAGAGACATCGGCAGCTTTGTTTCCTTCCAGAAGTGCCTGGGTTGAGTCAGCTCAAATTCTACACTGGAGGTCACTTGAAGTCTCTAAACCTGTTTCTCTAGACTTTTTTTGGAAAACAAATGACTTTGCTTATACTTCAAGTCAATCATCTCCCCAGGCACACACTTCTCTTTGCCTCCCAACTCCTTCCCATAAATTAGAGCTGGGCTCCCCTAAAATAACTGCAAAGGAATTTCTAGCAAATATTAGAAATCTTTTCAGTGAATGTGTTCTCTCTTTAATTTTTGGCAACCTGGGTTCCATCAGGAAACCTGCTGCTTTGTTCCTGGCTGCCCCAGAGGGTGCTGCTCCGGGGCCTCCCCACGGCCGGACGGCCGGTGCCCAGAGTCTGGGCCAGGCTGTCCACGCACACCCCTGCACCTGGGACCAAACACGCCGGGTGCGAGCCCCAAGCCTGCACGTGAACACTCCAGCCACTTCGGGCAGAGTGGAAGCAGCAGGTGCCACCGATGCGCCTCCTCCGGGGTGTCTCGAGGTGACTGTCTTCTCCCCCTCCGCTCCCCTCACTGTCCTGCACCACAAGCTCCCCAGCGTGGCCTGGAGGACTGCTCAATCGCATTCTTGCACGGGGCATTCTGTTTTGGTTTTCTTTAGCCCGGCGGGAAAGCACAAAAAGGACACTGTTTCAGAGCCGCGGCTGCGGTGGAGGTGCGGGCCTGGCCTCCCCACCCTCAGGCCGAGCCCACCCGCAGGCCGCGGGCTGCTGGCGTCTCTTGGGCTGGTGCCCTCTGCAGTCCCCTCCCGAGCACACCGGGGAAGAGCAGAGGCATCCGGCCGAGCCCAGGGCTCTCGGCCGCCAGTCCAGCAGGGCGCCCGCCGGGCTCGGCCTCTGCTCCGTGTCACCAGCTACAGCCACTGGCGAGACCCGCACGCCGCTCGCTGCCGTGTCCCAGAGCACCCCGGCCTGCTTAGCGGATGCTTTTTTTTCCCTTTTTTAAACACTTATGATTTACATTCAAGGTTCTTTGCGAAGGAACGTGTTGAAAATCTGACGTGAAATAAAAGCTCTTTAGGAGTCCAGGTGGTGACAGAAGGCCCCCCGCCTCGGCGCCCCCGGGACGGCGCGGGCAGCGTCACACGTCGTCCGCCGGCAGGGATGGGATGCTGATCTTGGCTCTGGTGAAGTAGGCCATCTTCTCCCTGGGCGGGGCGAGACGCGAACACGGTGGTGAGAACCCCGGGACCCTGCACAGCATCCCCAGGAGCCCCTCGGCCTCCTCCGGGCTGGACACAGACAGGGCTCCTCAGGTAAAATCACGTAAAATCCAGGCCTCCGGGGCCTGTCACAGCAGCTGCGGGGAGGAGGCCTCGGCAGCGGCTGCCACGTCCCTGGACGCCAGGGGGGCAGCCCTCCCGGGGGTCCCGGGGGGAGATGCTCGTCCCCACTGGGGTCTGCTCCAGGCTGAGCGCGTCTGAGCCAGCAAGGCGAGAACCAAGAGGGAGGACACCCGGCAACCGCCTCAGGGGCCTCCTGGAAAACGATTTCAAGTCCAGGATGGCTGGCAACGGCCAGGGCGGCTTGGTGGGCGACCCCAGGGCTTAACCAAAGGGAAGGACCTGGCGAGTCTGACTGTCTCAAAGCTGCAGCACTGGGTAGAAAGGAGGTGACGGGGGAGGCCGGGAGAGAAGAGTGCAGGGTGGCGTGTGCACACACGTGCACACACACGTGCACACACACCTGAAGCCGGGCCCGCTGTTGAGACCCGGATGGTCTGGGTGGAGGAGGGTAAGGCAGGCGAGAAGTCAGAGTGGAGAGAGAAACGCTCTGAAGACCAAGCGGAGGCCAGAGAAGAAAAGGAAGAGGCGAGCGTGGGGCCGGGGTGAGTCCAATCCCACGAGACTCCACGAGGGCAGCGAGCGCACCCGCCACTGGGCCTTCTGGAGGAAGCAAAGACCCGAGGGGGCCCCGGCACGACCCCAACAGGTTTCTCTGACCTCGTGGGGTTTTTAAATACTTGACTTAGTTGCCGGTGTGTGCATTTGAGATACTTGACGTGCACATCGCTGAAACCCAACTTTCCAGGACGAGTGAGAAGACCAGGGAACATGGGCTCTTGATTCCCCGGGGGCAGCGGCTGGGCTCAGGCCCTGCTGCCCCCGTTCCCGGCTAGGCCGGCCTTGCTGCAGTCCATCTTACCCTTTCTTCCAACCCGCCCGACGCTGGCGAGGGATGCGGGGCACGTTTATGACGCTGTATTTGGGGTTTTAGCAACAGCTGGACGGGGGGCCTCTCCAGGTGACCACTTGCTCACCACCCTGATGCTCTAAAGGACTGAGGTGCAGCCTTCTCGAAAGTAACAGGAGGGATCGTGAGCGGAATAGTGCAGGGAAAACTCTTCACTGTCAACTGTCATATTCCAACAAGAGGGCAGAGCCCCCGGACCCCAGCTTCAGTCCCTCCATTTCTCAACTCATTAGGTGGAGGAGGGGCTCCCCCTTCTGGGCCTCACCTCTGCAGCCCCCCACGCCAGTCCTTCCAGCTCTGCTCTGGAGGAGCCCCTGCGTGAGGGCTGCCTGCTGGCCAGGGCTCACCTGAAGGACTGCACCTGCTGGGGGACCTTCCGGCTCTGCTCCCGAAGCCGACACACATCCTTGGAGACTTGCCTCATCAGCTTCTCGGCGTTCAAGCCTTGCTTCTGCTCCTCCCTTGACTGCTCAGCCTGGACAGGGCGTGAAAACACACACGATCCATAAAACGTGACCCAGGACATCCTGGAGGTGCGCTGCAAGGCTCGAAAGACGGCCCGAGAGCCAGGGCAGCAGCCCGGGTGGCCGACAGGGAGCCGTGTCCGCCATCGGGGGTGACTCCCACACGCCAGCTCACCTTGACGGGGCGAGTTTATCATATTTTCAAAATCTTATCACACTGCCAATATGTGGTTATTTTATTACGCTTGGGAAACCTAAGCGCCCTCCAAAAAGAAATTAAAAACGATTTATCGTTGTGTCCAAGAAATAACTACTGTTGACACTGGCAGGTATACTTCCAACCTCTTGTTCATCATATTTTGTCATCTGGCCATTTCATTTTTTAAAAATTCATTTCTTTTTCATTCTAGTACTTATTTGTTGAGGCAACACTGGTTTACAATCTTGTGTATGATTTAGAGGTGCAGGATCACACCCTGCAGGTGGTGTCACCACCCCACTCCCACCACCAAGGCGCCCACAGGCCTCCACCACTGTGCTCCCTCCTCCTGGGTTCCCACCCATGTCCTCCAGCAGTCTCTATTCTACAAACTGATTTCTAGGGTTTGTTTCGTCTGTTTCGTTTCTTTCTATTCCACCTATGACGGAAAGCACCTGATCTGTGTCTTTATCCTTCTCGCTTATTTCTCTGAGCATCACCCTGCCTCCATGTTGGAACAAACGGCGTAAGTTCATCTGTTACAGCAGAGTTGTTTTCCACTGTGTAAATACACCACATTTTCTTTATCGACTCATCTGTCCCTGGGCACTTTGGTTGTTTCCATAACTTGGCCGCTCTATCTAGTGCCTGCCTCCCTGCCCTGCCCGCCTCCCTTGCACACCAGCCTCCCTGCCTGTGTGCCTGTGTGCCTGGTTCCCTGGGAGAGCACTAAAGCCTGAGCAATCCACCGAGGGCTCCGGGACTCTCCTTTATCTGTCTGCCCGAATGGATAGTGAACCTGTCCTGTGCCCACTGGCCCTACAGTGGAACAAGCAAAACTTGGAGTAAGAGAGAAACGCGTCTGCTCAACAAGATCAGCAGCGGGCAGAGGCAGCCTGCACCACGGCTGGGTGGAACCACTACTTTCAGGCACAGAAATACAGATGCAAAAAGGGGCCTCACACCCCCTTGGGTGCCCACCCGCTGGCTGAGGGTGCTTCAGGACAGCGAGGATGTGCACAAAGAGGCTCTGCTGTTTTTTAGGGAACTCTCTGGTCAAGGCCTCCCACAAGTTTCTGCAGCTGAAAACAGACACCGGTTCACGATCGGCTCATTGAAAGACGAGAACCATCAACAAAATGAACAGGTGGGCCTCAGGCATCAGGCCTCGGCTCTTCTATCTGCCCTGAAGAACCTGCTGTGGGATCTGGACCCCTTCCAGTTTCCATCTGTTTGTACTAAGAGAAACTCTACGGATTCCTTTAATGTAGAAGGGAAACAAGAGTCACCCTAAAATCCTGCAGACTTTTAATCATTCATCAGCACCTGCAGAAATCTCAGAACTCTATAATAGAAGATGATTAAAAGAAACACTTGCTGGAGCACTGGCGTTTCGACGCTTCCAGCTGGGAAGGAGGCCGAAGCCTGTCTCCTTCCCTCAGTGTGGGCCCCTCGCACTCCCTGGATCTGGCTCCACATCCAAGATCACTGATTTTGTGGAAACACCTGTGGGACAGGGCGGTGCCCCCACTCTGGCTGACGTTGCATGCAACCGCGGCCACGTTCCCAGGCCTGCTGTGAGACCTCCGTGGCTCCCCAGTCCTCAGACATTTGTGGCTCTCAGTAAGTCTGCCGTGGTCTAGCTCAGCTCCAGCTGTTTCTGTAGGACACACATCAGGTGCCAGAGATACAGAACCCAGGCATGGAAAGAGCCAGCTCATGTGTTTAACCCTGAGTTTTCAATTTGTATTTTTAAGATTTAACTCCTTATTCCACATGGAGTAGGCTTGGGTCTATAGCCAGGGACCCAGAGTCCTCTTCTCTGCGGGCGCTCCTTTCCCAGCCTCACTAATTCTGCACTCCCTCCTTTTGACCCTGCTGACAAATGGCCTCCGCCCACCACACAACACGGCCCGTGGGTACGGCTGGTTTGGGCTCCCTACTTCATTGATGGGTCTCAACTCCTCCCCCAAGCCACACTGCCCATACATGTTGGCAGCTTAATAGATCCCGATTCCCTGTAGGGCAAGCCCCCTCCTGGCTTTCTCCCTCAGAGAAGTCTTGGCTGTTCTCTGTTCTCCATCAGCGGCATCAATTTCCACGAAGAACCACATGGGCATTGTTGGGAGGGACACTGAATTGTCAGCGCATTTTAGGGAGAATGGACAGGCTCCACAGTATTAATTCTTCCTCCGTCTCAGGTCGCCACTGCTTTTGTGAAGTTTTACTAGAACCACAATCCTCTGTTTGCATCTTGTCTTGGTGCTTTTGTGCTAAGTGGCAGACCTGAGTGCTGGTGACTGGGGCTCCATGGCCTGCAGACCTTATCCTGTCTGGCCCCTCATAGCTAAAGGTGGTATGTTCTCCCACGAATTTAGGGGTTTTTCTATTTCTCCCCATGAGGTTTTCCCTATACTATATGCATTTTTTAAAAATTTATTCCTTGATACTTGATGATCACTCCTACTGTTGTAAACCAGATCTTAATTAAATTCTCTGATTGCTTTTGACAGAGCAACACAACAGACTTTTCTAGATCATTCTTCTGTTTACCATCTTGCCATACTCTCATGTTATTTGTAATAATGCACAGGTAGGTGACCAGGTCACCTGCAAATAATGACAGTTTTATTTCCTCCTTTCCAACATCTGCTTCTGCTTTTCTCACGTCCCAGTTACAACTCCTGAGACGACCCTGAGCAGAGGGAACTGTCTGCTTGAATCTGATTCAAAAGGGAGCAATTCCCACGTTCTTCTGGTTAGGGCCACATTCACTGCCTGTTACTCATTACAAGTTAAGGAAGCCCCATCTCTTCCTCACTTCCTGGGAGTTTTAGACAAGAATAAGGATTGACTTTTATCAACATTTTCCCTGCATTTTTTGAGTTGAGCAAGTATTTATTTTCCCTTAAATGTGTTAAATAGATTAATTATATGGTCAAGTATATCATCTTTTTACTACACTGTTGAATTCTGTTTACTAAGATTTTAGTTATGGTTTTTGCATCTATGTTCATAAATGAAACTGGCCTGTGATTTTCCTTTTTGATAATATCTTCGTCCAGTTTTATGATTAGGGATGTTGGTCATACATAATGGGTTGTAGAATAGTCTCTCTGTTTCTAGTACTTGGAAGAGTTTGTATAAAACACTGATAATTTGTCCACTCAAAATCTGGTGGACGTGTCTGTAAGACAACTAACCTTGCTTTCTTTGTGTATAGACTTTTATCACTGCTTTCATTTCTTCAAGAGGCGGAGGGCTTTTAATCCTTTTCCCCTTCTTTCATCAGTCTTAGTATTTTTATTTTTCCTAGATTTTGTCCAAATCGTGGGTTTTTGATAATACCTATCATTTGAATTTCAAATTTATCTGTAGTTCTGTCTCTCTTTACTTTTATACTTTTCTTCATTTGGGTCTTCTTTGTTGATCTTGGCCGTTTTATTTTTTTATAGGTTTTTCTGAAGAACCAAGTTTCTGTATTACTGAGCTTCTCTCCACAGTGGAGAAGAGACAGCAGCCAAGACAAACTATAGTCAAGCAATTTGCAGATGGCTCTTAGCAACATGCTGGTAAGCAAAAAAAAAAAGTCCCAAAGTTTTTATAAATTATTGATTCCAGAATCTCATATCATGACAAACTAGAAGCCAACAAACAGCAAAAAACCCCAAACATTCAAAGTTCTACTAAAACCAACCACTGTAAGTCACCAGTCCAGCTCTGAGAGTCCTGGATCAGGGTCAAAAGGTTCGGGAGCTTCTCCATGATGAGAAAGTCAACTAAGGGCTTGAAATTCCTGTCGCGGTTGAACTGAAAGACTCAAGCGAGTGGCAACGGGGGCAGTGACCACGAAGGTCGTGGCACAAAAGCAGGTCACGTAGGCTTCCGGCAGCCTCTAAAGCCAGCTGAGCCCGGCTGCTCCCGGTGGCTCCTGCTGTGACCCTGCCTGTCTGGAGCTTCTGCTCCTTTACTATTAGGGTCTCCCGCCTGCTGGGCCTCTTCACCCCCACTACCTGCTCTCAAGACCAGCTGAAGCACCACCTCATCCATGAAACCACTTCTGGTCTCGCCAGGAGGTGGCTCTGGAGCCTTGCCTCCTTCACCAAACCACAAGCTCGCGCCCTGTCTGTGGGAATTCCCTCTGCGTGGCCACAGTGTCCAGCAGAAAGCCCGAAATTCAACTCCCCACGGAACAGGTACTTGCTAGTCCTACTGTGCGCACAGGCTGTCACCCAGAAGTGTTAACACGTTTTCTTATACTTTCTGAGAAAGTTAATGGCGTCAGCCTGATCCCCAGAATTCACCTGTCATACTCCTGAGCTCCGCTGGGACTAGTCGTGTGAGAAGAAGCAATGACTGTTTCCCCACAGTCCAGTATCAAACGCGACATGATGAAAAAATAACTTTGGGCCAAAAAGAGAAGCGTTCATTATGGCCAAGATTTCCTGTTGTTTAAGGAGGAGTCTAACCTATTGCAGATTTCCATCCAAACGAGTTGAAAGAAAATAATGTTGTGGCATTTGTAATACATCACTTATGTGGAAAACGCGATTTGGTTATTACAAGTGGGAGTGAACACACATGCCTACAGCAAAATACAAATTCCAATCTTGAGAGAATAAATCAGTTTCATAAATATGCAGGTTCTTGAAAATCTGGTCACATTTAGGTAGCAGAACTATAGAAAGAGACCCTTGAAAACTAACTTTTCCGTCAGCGATTTTGCCCTGTTTTGTGTGGCTGCTTGCCTGACGAAAGGCAAGGGACAGGCCAGAATGTGACATGCAATCGCTCTTGAAGGTAAGAAAGAATGAAAATTTAGGCACTTTAAAGTCAGCGATGCATTTACAACTAATGTGGTTATTGAAACTGAGGAGCTACTTGTGTAAAACTCAAGAAAAGTCAGCAGTTACGTGAACAGGTGCGGTGTATTTGCTGGCCTGGCTCCTCTTGAGACAGAAACATGGCGAGGCCCCTTGGCCAATGCTGTGGCCAGAGGAGCCCGTGCCAGCCTGTGGGGGGGGTCTCGTGGCACCTTGGTGGGGCCAGGCTCATGGCACTGTCGTGGGTTCCAAACAGGCCGATAACAATTAAAAGAAAAGTGTTCAATGTTCGAGAAAGAGGATTTGAAGACCGGGGTGGGGAGAGGGCTAGGGGTAGCCCCAGCGAGCTCTGTACCTGCTTCTCGGCCTGTCTGAGGAGCTTCTGGAAACGCTCGTCCTCCAGCACGCCCGGGGCAGGTCGGTCTCTCCCTGAGCCTTCAGCTCCTCCAGCTTCTGCCTCAAGCCCCGCAGGGCCTGCAGCTCGTCGTTGAGGCGGCTCTGCCGCGTGAGGGAGGCCTGGAGGTCCAGTTCCAGGTCCAGCGACGTGCGCACTGGGCACTCCTGCGAGGCTCGTCTGAGCACCGGCTGGCACACCGCCTGCACGGAAGAGGAGGGCACGCTCAGGCCGCGCTGGAGGGCGCAGTCGGGGCCAGCACCCGTGGGTGGCACTGGGTGGCTCGCTCCAGGCAGGGGCCTCTCAAAGCGAGGGAAGACCCCTCAGCCCGGTCGTGGGGGAACGAGGAGCAGAGTACCCCACTACCCTGCAGCAGACAAGGGCCCGAGCAGGGACTAAGCCTTTGTCGTTGAACCCACAGAGACGTTTACAGTTATGACCTGAAGATGGCTCAGCTCTGCCTGCCCGCTGTCCCCTCGCGGTCTGCCCAGCGGGAGAAAGAAGCACGTCACAGGACTGCCAGGCCCCCGTGGCGGGACACACACCCGATGTCCACTCCCCTTGCTGCCGCTCCCGTGCCGGCAGAAGGCAGCTGGCCAACGGGGCTAAGACTTTGGCGTCTGATCCAGCCGCGTCTCCGCCAGCTCTGCCTCAGTTTCCACTATCTGGTCTCCTTGACCACGGCACCGCTGCTGGTCTTCACCCGCGCGTCAAGAGGTAATAATCGAGCACGTATGAACACAGTTCTGCCGGCGGACACCAGGAGGAGCGGGCGCCGTTCTGAGCGGAGGCCCGTGGCCAGGGAGCTGCGGGGAGGGGGCACGGCCTCGGGCGGGGGAGCGCCTCAGGAAAGCAGGCGGCAGAGGCTGCTGAGACTGCACACGCCTCGGGGACGAGGAGGGTGTGTCACCTGGACCACTGGCAGCGGGAATGGAAAATAAGATTACGGAAAGAGCAGGGCCCGGCCGATAGCAGAGGGCGGGGGCTCGGGCCTGAGAACCTCAGCCCTGCAGCCCAAAGATCTGGAGCCGCGGGGGGTTCAGGACAGACGGAGGGAGGGGGCCCGGCTCCCTTATCCCCAAGGCTCGGCGCTGGCCCGGACAGTCCTCGTGGTCCCCTCGTCCCCGCGCAGTGAGGGCTGTGAGCTTCTCCCACACCCTCCAGCACCCCCACGGGCTCCCGCCCCTCTCCTCCACCTCTGCCCTCGCCAGCAGACTCAGCCCACGGCAGAATCGCCACACGCACCCGTTGCTACTCCCTTCTCAGCCTCAGAAATCCTGCCGAGGGCCCCAGCACGCGGCCAGCTGGCAGGTGCCAGCACGCGGCCAGCTGGCAGGTGCCAGCAGGCGGCCAGCTGGCTGGGGCAGGGCGCGGAGGCGGCGGGGGGAGCAGGAAGCTGTAGGGCTCGAGGGGCTACAGACAGGCGGACCCTCAACTCATGTGCCAGATGCTCGGCTCCCTTCACCCCTCCTGTTCCTTGGAGGTGACCCTGAGTCAGGAGAACATCCCCTGCAGACAGCACAGGGGAACGCAGCTCTCCCCACAAAGCTGAGTCTGTGCGCAGAAACGGAGAACCCTCCTGCCTGATCTCCCCGCCTGAGATTAAGGACGTGCTTTATTCCTGACTGCGATCCCCACCTCCAGGCTCGTCAAGATAAGGGCTCCCGAGCACAGTGCAGACCCTTCCCCACTCCTCTACGCCAACCGCCAACCGTTGGCTTGGACTCCAGCGGGCACCGTCTCCCGCGGAGGACGCCGGGACTCCCCTCTCTCTGGCTCAAGAGGTTCTAGGAACTCCCTTAAGCACCCTGAGCTTCTTCCTGGCCCACACCCTTCCAAAGCCCTCCGGGAACGTTCTCCCATGCTCCAAGAGGAGGTGCTGTTTGAGAATGCAGGCGCCTAAAGAAGTTGAGAAAACTTCTCAAAATATTGGCAACTCGGTGCTTTTGAAGCCCACGGTGTGGCGACCTGAGTATTTTATTCCTCGGCGTTTCCTGGAAATGCTGAATGCTGAATTATGCCAGCAGACTTCCCTAAAAAAACGAGCATCTTTATCAATTCCAGGTGATTAAGAGGTTAAACCCGGGGACCCAGGGGTCAGGCCCGCGGCACCAGAGACAGGGGAGCGCTCGATCCCAGGTTCCCCCACCCCCAGTGTGCAAGCCGCTCCTCTGAGTTCTTTCCTCCCCTCATCTGTCTCCTCTCCCACCCCCACCCAGCTGCCATTTTCCGCTGAAAGCCACCCAGGGGTGCTGGATGTCTCAGGCCTCCTCCCTGAAGTCTCAGTGACTCCCCAATCAGAAGCCCCGATCACCCACCACGCCCTGCAATAGGCCCCCGTGCACTGCCTCAGACCCCAGAGCCTGCAGGCGGCACCTGGAGCTGGCACAGGCGCCTGGACACTCCCCGAGTGGTGAGTGTGCTGCTGAGGGGCGGGAGCGGGACCTGCTGACCTCAGGGGCAGCCCACCCCTTCCACCCAGTTGTCTCATCCAGAGACCAGGGCCCCCTGGGCGCCTGGCTCTGAGCCCCCCGTCTGTACTCCCTGTAACCTACAAAGTCTGTTTTTAGGCAACTCTGTGTGTTCCTGCTTTACCACAACCTCAGCCTCTGGAGAAGGTTCTGGGTTTCATATTCTCTCAATCGCTCTACAGCCAGACAGGGCAGAGACAACCTGGCAGAAACGGTCCCGGCTGCTCGTGAGGCCCCTCCGCGGACTAAACTCCATCTCCCGCCTTCACCATCTTAGGTCCCAGACCAGGGATGTCCAGTCCCAGCCCTACAGAGGGGTTCATCTGCGTTTCTGCCACTGCTGGGGTTGCTCAGAGCCCGGGCCAGAGGGGCGATGCCCACACCCCACTATTGGTGCTCTGCCTTTGGGCATCTGAGTTGCTGGGGGTGACCTGGCTGTTGCTGGGATGGGGTGTTGCTGGGACGGGGGTGTTGCCTGGACGGGGTGTTGCCGAAGAGATACGTACCCTTTTGACCCTCAAACTGCGCCGTTCAGTGGAGTTTCTCACAAACAGGGATTTCTTAGCCAGGGTGGAACTGTCACTGTCACTGCGATTTAACTGGCAATTAGAGATAAAAAATAAATCAGTAAAATGAGTGCCTATCACAGCCCCAGGGAAGCTCGGCAGCCACAAGGGCATCAGATAAAGCAGGTGGTGGTGACAATGGGAGTGATTTCCCTCCCAACCATGTTTTCCTCTGTTCTATACCTTCCTGAAACAACTTAATTATCTTAAATAATTTAAATCATCACCTTTTGGTGGTAGTTTATCAAGAAGCCAAGTGTGGAGATAACTATATATATTTTGAAATAAAATTACCCTTTGTGTTTTTAGCTAATATTATATATATATATATATATATATATATATATATATAAAAAGGTTTATTTATACAAGCACTGGGGTACAAGCCAGAGGCACAAGAGGGTGAGAGAATTCACCAGAGACAGAGTAGGGAGCAGAACAGGCAGAAGGACCCAAGTACACTGCTGACTGAGGGGAGCAGCAGGCGAGACAGGAGAGGTCTGCCGTGCCACGGGGGAATCTCCCTGGCCTGCCGGGAATCAAACCGGTGCTGCAGAGGCTGCAGACAGCTTCATAGCACTGCACTCAACCGGCTGTGCCACCGGGAAGGCCCATATATATATATTTTTTAAAGTCAGGTTTGCAACCCAAGAAATTTGACAGTAGAGTTAAGATGCTGGCGAGGGAGGGAGAGGATGGAGGGGCGAGGACTCTGGAGGCGGATGGGCGCCTGGGTGTGGGTGCGGTGTGGTGACAGGCATCCGAAGAGGTGTGAGCGTAGACCTCTCAATCAACGTAGTGTAGTAAACGGATGCTACCTCGCTAAAAAAAATTTTTTTTTAAAGATGTGTATGGTTTAGGAACTCCTGGTGAGAGTAGGTCACCGTGTGTTGAATCTAGAACACGGTCAGTCCAGATTCAGGGTCTCGAGGCATTACTGAGAGATGCTTTTTGTTCTAAAATCCAACCATATGAATACGCCTGAAGGAATATACTGAGAACTTTAAAAGCACTTTCCAACCCGTTTTATACTATTAAACCTGTATTACTACAAGTCAAAAATATTTTTGGAGGTGGAATTTGGCAAAACGATTCAAAACTAATCCTAAGAACTGTGAGACTGATTCAGGGTCTCGAGGCATTACTGAGAAATGCTTTTTGTTACAAAATCCAATTGGAAAAATTTTGTTCCTGCAGAACCAACATGGTTTGGAGCATGTATTGGTGGAGAGCAGAAATACTGGAAACTTTTATAAATCTCAAATCACTAAGTTTCTAAACAGAGATCAAAGTCCAAATACACCTAGCAGCCAGGGCCTGAAATTTCACTAAAGAACCAGGTAAATGGCACAGATACTGAATTTGGGGAAAGAAAAAAACATACCCCCATAAGCCCAAACTAGAAGGACCCTGGGGGTGACACTGCCTGTGTATTTCATGGCGCTTCCAGTGGTCGCACCACATCTCCAGCAGCCCCCTCCACCGCGCCGCACCCTGCACCCCTGCCCTCACCCTGCAGATGTACTGGCTGCGGCCCCCCGGGGAGAAGGTCTGTGAGCGCACGATCACGCTGCTGCGCACGAAGGGGCGCTGGCGTGCGCTCACACCACTGCGATCCTTGGGGCGCACCGCCACGCTGGGGCTGCCCGCCTCCTCGGTGTTGGTCTCTTTGTCAACCTGCAAGACAGGCCGGTCACAGGTCAGTAGAAAACAGATGGGTCCATGTCCCTTCCACCCTCAGGGGCACGGGGGAGAGAGAGATGTCTGCTCTTAGGACACAGGCCCTGCCCCAGCGCCCTCCTCAGAGAAAAGCCCTGTGTGCCTCCCCACGGGAAGTCTTAGGAAGTCACCGATCCTCCGTGGGAGCAGCCGGGTTACCCAGAAGTGGAGCTGACACCGCCCACAGATCAGAAATAACCAAAAGGAAGTTTTAGATATTGAGGCATAAATGTGGGTCGATAAAGAATGGCATTTGGGAATGCTTAATCATTCAATATTCAATTTTCTGGCTACCTTTTTCCCAGACTAAATGGTAAAAGCCATTAAATACGAGAAAATGAAAATATACGACAAGTTACCAGATTTCAGAGACTATGCGATTATATGTACATGAACATGATAGCTGCTGTTATATACTGTGGACACCCCAGTCTGGACATTTGCTGGATGCTTGGAAAGGCAACAGAAAGAAAACTTTAAGTAAAACCAAGATTTGTCAGGACACCAGCTCTATGGGCACCCACGGGTGTCTCTTGCAGATCTCATACGAACTTCGTGATTTGAAAACTGCCTCATGCTGCTTTGTTCCTTTAAAAAGGAAGTCTTCAGTCAGGGTCTGAGATTACTTTTCTCAGGAATAAAGAATATAAATTGTCTAAATTCCACTACTGACATCCCAGTTTTCCAGCATCCTCAGAGCCTGGAAGTGGTCTTTGCCCTTGGGGGATGGGAGCCTCCGCATGTCAGTAACTTGGCCGACACCTGCACCAAACTGGGTCACCTGCCACCTTCCAGAAGACGTGTCAATCAGAACACCACGTCACTAAATGAACTGACATGTTCACTGTGTGTCTAAAATGGAGATAAACTTACACCGCTTATGACATGTAATGCAATGAAGTGCTCACCCTGGTGTTTATCCAGGAGATTCTGAAAATGCTTCACCAAATACTCAGGACATTTATCTTTTAATTTAAGTTGGGAACGAGTATCTTGGGCTCAGAAACCATAAAGCATTTACAACGCGTCTGACTGCCTGCGCTCAAGGACGCCCCCCGGCTCTGCGCCTGGCACAGACCCTACTATGGAATTACACCTGTTCCGGGAGCAGACGGGCAACGCACTGACCAGGGCAGGCGCTCCGGCCGGCGGCCGACTTCCGAGGTCTTGGGCTCCGTGGCCGTCTTTCCTGCTGGAGTCTTCATTCATCTCGGGGACACTCGGGCAGGAACTTGCCTCTTCTGCATGGCTGCTGCCCCCTGGCAGTTCAACAGCAGCCTCTTCTTCGGCCCCAAGTTCATCAGAGGCTTCTCGCAGCATCGTTAACCTGCCGGGAGCAAGACACAACACACCAGGCTGAGCAGCGAGCCCGGGACCCCGGGAGCCAGGGCTGTCAGCACCTTGCCTGGCCTGGGCGGAAACGCACGCAAGGGACTTGTGCTGCCGCTGGCCGGGCTGGAACGTTTAATTCAATAAAATGTTCGTGAAAAAGAAAATCATCACCATATCCTCTAGCAATCTGTGGCAAGATCACTGGAATCTGGTCCTAGAAAGTTAAATTCCTGAACTTTGACATGATTCCTAGATACTAAAATAGCAACGTTCTGAAATCCCACGTTAATGGTGACCCCTGGTGCCCTCTGACATGACGTGCCATCCATGATACACTGACCACATCAAATGGGGAGCTGGCTTTGACTCTGAGCATGAACAGAAACCCGCACATCATCGTCTGTGTTTGGGATCTAGAGGGGTCGTGCCCTGTGAAAGGGAATTTTTTATTCCTGAAGCAACAGAGGACGCTATGCCTGTGAGTTTGTCTGGAACAAGAGCCGTGGCCTGGGCTTGGGCACCTAAGCTCGGTTTATATCTCCAAAATGACACTGACAGGGAAGCAAGAGAGACCTGCACGGCTCAGAGCAGCTCATCAGGCTTTGCAGTTTCATGTTCTTGGAATAGAGACACTCACGATAACAAAAGTCGAACCTTAACACGGCTGGTGACACACGGACAGCTGGGCCTCCCACTCTTTATTAATCGCCTCCCCTCCACACCAACAAAGGGGGCCTAGCTGTGAACACTGTGAGTTACTAATCCCTTTCTGTCATATGCTAAATGTGTGTGACACAAATTGTATTTTACAAATGTGAGGGAGGCTCTATAGGCCACGATTCCATGGGAGCATATAAATGAGCTAAGATTTATTTATTTTTCTCCGCAGTGCTCTGATTTTTATTCATTATAAAGGATGTTTGCTAAGGACAACGTGTATCTGTACCTTTCTACATCACTATACTAAGCTGTTCCTTCCAATATCTGTGATTTTGTTATTTAGATCTGTAACAGGGGGGTCCCCAGGAAAGGGGCCCAGGTTCCCTGCCCCACCCAAAGGAGGGTGGAGCTGAGCAGGGAGAGAAGAAGCTGCAGAGGAGACTGAGGAAGGAGGAAGCAGGATGGAGCCAGAAGGAGGCCTGGAGGAGGCGCATGGAGGCGAGAGACACGTGAAGAAACTGCGCTTGCCTTTTGGTCGTGGACTGGGTGACACAGATGTGGGTGAGACCCGTGGGGAGGTGACAATGGCAGTTTTTGTCTTGCTTTTGATTTTTCTCTTTCCCTCCCAGACTTGTCTGGTTGTTTCTGATCCTTTTCTGTGGATCCCCACTGGAGGATGCTTTAGACTTGTGGCAGGTTTGAGGCCTTGCTCTGGGCCAATCCTGCGTGGGTGGACTTTTACCCATGAGGGGACAGGTAACTTTGGGCACTTGATTTAGAAACTAGATTCTTCTTTGCCTTTCCTGTATTGCTATTAATTATATTAAAGTTTCTTTTCATTAAAATCTCATGTGTTTTGTGTTGATGCGGTGGACGGCAGAACCTATTTGAAGCAGGCAGGTTTGCAGGGTCTGGGCTGCCCCGCTCCTCCCAGCCCTGTAACAGGTACACCTTGTCACTCTAAGTTGGTAGACAGTTGTATGTGCACAGATACACAAATGCATGTTACATACGGATATGCATGTGGTGTAACAGTAGTTCAATCAAACATATAGTATAAGCAACACAGTTAACCAGCACAGAGTTAAGCCAAGTGAATGCAATGATTTGCATATACTTTTTAATAATTGCTACATTCACTGAAAATTGTTTTCAGAGAAAAAGGTGCAAAGCAGGAAAGACAGAGAGTCCTTCACACACATGTGAATCTAGTAAAAACCAAAACCTTTTATTCTCACTTTTTTTTTTAAAGGACGGGCTATTGGTAATGAGAAGGACAGAAAAGGTGGTCTCAAGCAGAAACATGACTCCCAGCAGCACTGTTTATAAATACCTGCTCCGTCTTCCAGAGCCTAAGTGGTACCTTGACACTTCAAGAGTCTCCTTTTAAATTTATCTATGATTATAATATAAATGGTCAGACATTTCAAAA